TGCGTCTTTTTTCTCCCAATCTCTCAGGTTTTGTAAGGTTTCCAATGGCTTCAGATCTTTTCTGTGTGATGTATGGGCGCGAGTGCGAGTACGGAGCTCCTTACTTCTCCGCCATCTTGCCCTCTCTCTGTTTTTAAGTGTTTTATTTTTTGTATGTTGTCTTCAGTTTTATCATTGTAAACTAGCATGTATAATTTGTTCCTAAAGGTCAGGTATTTATTACCTCACTTTAACTTTGTCCCTGAGATTGTGTACACATATGTGCATGTGTGTGAATGAAAGACGACTTTTGGATAAGAGTTTAGACCTTTTATTGAATAGTGAAGAGAATGATGTGTAATTTCTCATTGGCTTCATCGATGGGTAATCAGTGTTACTCAGGTTGTAACCTGATAGCTGTTTCCTGTTTGCCTTGGTCTGTGACTTGTATTAACTTTGGCAATAGTGCATCCTACCAAAATAATTTCAGAAGCACACTTAAAAAGCATTATTTGAATGAAAGTTGCTGTGACTTTTATGAAATACATCAATTATCTCACAAAGGCAAATTACTAATCTTTTGGAAGACCTGAAGAAAGTGGAAGATGCTGGAAAAAATTCATGTGAAGAAATTCTTAGAAAACTTCACTCAACTGAAAATGAAAATGAAACTCTGAATCTTGAGAATACAAAATTAAAGGTAATATGTGTTCTTGTGTATATGTGTATATATTGTTTAATGACAACTTAGTAGAAGTAGCTGGAAATAACATCATGCTGAGGATAGTGCTGTTGTGTCATTTTGTCCTTTACGTTTGTCAGGGTAGAAGAGCATCATAATAATATGTAACTTCTAATACTATATATTCATATCTACATATCTGTACATACACAGTATAGACACATATTTGTATATGCATTTGTAAGTGTTTATAGTTGTATACACAGATACATGTTAAAGTTTTCAGCAATATTAAATAAGATTTATGAAGTTGGACAACTGTCTCAATATTTAAAAAAAAATTTATTCTTTGATTTTAATCTGTTGAATCATCCAAAATTACATTAACTTTAATGTGTAAGTTTTTTTTTCTAGGTGTCATGGTTACGGTAGGATATAACCTCAGGCCTGGTTTGTTTGAAACCAGAAAGTATGTTCTTGGCTGCTTCGTGACCAGAAAGAATTTTCCAACTTAATCAAATCCAAGGGGTGATTGGTTTGTGTGTGTACCAGAGAAAAAAATGGAGTTTTTTATACTTTCTGAGAAAAAAATGTTTGAGTTCTCAATTAGAGATACATGTAACCAGATGAGACTTGATTAAAGATGATGGCATCCTTTGCAGTTTTTTAATACTATTTTTGGAGGATAGTAAATAGAACACAGAAAAGAATCTTTTTGTGTAAAGGAAGACCAGAGTTGGCAGCTCAAGCTGATATGGCATCAGAGAACCTGGCCTCTTTTTAGCTCTCCCCTCTGCCATTCCTGGGTTATGATCCTCACCATCCAGAGTGATTGCTGAAGTGCCCGCCATTATAGCCAAGTTTCAAGCAGAAGGATGCAAGGGGAAAAAGATGAATCATACCCCCCACCCCTATTTTTTTCATCTCCTGTTTCACTTCCTTTGAGGGAGACTTCTATATGTTCCATACCACTCTACCTTCTACTTATTTAGGTACACAGCCCCAACTAGGTCCAGGGGAGACTGGGGAATATAGTCTTCTAGTTATCCTGGGCTCTATCCAAATATGAATACTCATTATTTCCTGCAATTTGTTCATGTTTTCCTGTATCTATTCCAATAGTTTTACTATATTTATAATTTGGAATTATTTTTCTTGGTATCTGAGACCTGCCTTAGTTCAGCTCAAAAGCCCCACAGTCTTTTCAATTAGGATGAATCTCTCCTCATCAACTCCCATCTTTGTATGCCCAGAATGCCCAGGGAAGGTTTGACACATACTTAGCTCTCACTGAATATTCATTGAATGAATGTTTAAAATGGTTTATCTTGGAAGAGGAAACAATTTTATTTATTATGTTTATTTCCTTAATTTCCTTGATAACTTTCAGAGAAAGGATTAAATAATATTTCATCAATTATAAATCTAATTTTTAATCACATGGTAAATGGAATTAATTTTAAATTACCAAGGTATAAAAATCATTGAGTTACAGTTTACATCTTCCATCCTATGAATAATTTGAAAACATGTATTTTTAATTCATTATTCTACTGATTTTGTTTAAGGAAAGAAATCTAGGTGTGTTTGGTATATGTTAGTTGCAATGCGAAATTGCCTAGATGTTGCATTTTGTTACTTTTAATGACTAGAATAATTTTAGATTTTAATGTTTCAAATGAAAAAAAGAATCCAGCTGATATAGCTTTCAAGACCCAGTGAGCTCTTCTTTTAAAATTGCAAGAGTTTATTTGGATGGTTATAAGTTCTATTTGTTCATTAAAAAGAGTTGGAAAAACAGAAATGCATAAAGGGAGAAATTAAAAAATCACTTGTAATCTCACAACTCAAAGAAACTAAAGTTACTTAGCATATAATGTTGGGGATTTTGGACCACTTACAGTGTTTTGCTGCTATAAATTAAAAAGTGGATAGTTTCCTTGAGTCTTTTTGCACATCTGTGTTCTTAGGATAAATTTCTAGAATCGTAATTATATTATCAAAAGGAAGGCTCATTTTAGTGTTGGTGTTACATATTTCCAAATTACCCATCATAAATGGGTCCCTGTATTTTTTTCCAGTACTAGACAATTAAAAAAGAAATCTCTCCAGATTTGATAGGCGATCTCTCTAGTGTTGGAGCTTTAAGTACCATCTTTATCCTGGGGGCTCTCGACTTTGTATCTCTAGCCTCGACTTTGCCCCTGAGTTCCAGACAAATATTCTGCTGCCTACTTGAAATTTCCATTTGGATATTTAATAGGTGTCTCAAAGTTAGTATGTTTAAAATAGACGTTCTGTCTAAAAGCCAGAGTAGCCATACAAACTGGCTACTCTCGTAATAGCAAGGGGTGAAGAAAGTAAAGGCAGTAACAAGGGATGAAGAAGGGCATTATATAATATATAATGATTACAGGGTCTATCCATCAGGAAGAGCTAACAATTATAAATGTCTATGCACTGAATTCGGGAGCACCCAAATACATGAAACAATCACAAACAGACAATTTTATGGATCAGAATGTGCTAATAGTAGGGGACTTTAATACTCGACTTACAGCAATGGATAGATCAGCTAGACAGAAAATCACTAAAGAAATAATGGACTTGAAAGACACATTGGAGCAGATGGACCTGACAGATACATTTAGAATCCTACATCTTGAGACTATGGAATTCACTTTCTTCTCAAGTGCACATGGCACACTCTCCAAGACTGATCACCTACTAGGTCATTAAGCAGCCCTCAATAAATATAAAAAAATTGAGATCATACCATGCACACTTTCAGGTCACAATGCTTTGAAACTTGAAATCAATCACAGGAAAAAGTCTGGAAAACCTCCAAAAACATGGAGGTTAAAGAACACCCCACTAAAGAATGAATGGGCCAATCAGACACTTAGAGAAGAAATTAAAAAATACATGGAAACAAATGAAAATGAAAACACAACAATACAAACTCTTTGGGATGCAGCAAAGGCAGTCCTAAGAGGAAAGTACATTGCACTCCAGGCCTATTTCAAGAAACTAGAAAAAGCGCAAGTACAAAATCTAACAGCGCACTTAAAGGAACTAGAAGGAGAGCAAGAGTACCCCAAACCCAGAAGAAGAAGAGAACTAATATAGAACAGGGCAGCAATAAACAATATAGAATAAAAAAAAAAGTTGACTGATCAATGAAACCAAGAGTTGGTTTTTTGAAAAAAAACAAAACAAAATTGATAAACCTCTAACCAGGCTTCTCAAAAAGAAAAGAGCACACAAATAGATAAAATCATGAATGAAAATGGATTTATTACAACCAATCCCTCAGAAATACAAGCAATTATCAAGGAATACCATGAAAAATTATGTGCCAACAAACTGGACAATGTAAAAAAAACTGGACAAATTCCTAAACACACACGCATTACTAAAATTCAAACAGGAAGAGATAGAAAATCTGAACAGACCCATAACTAGTGAAGAAATTGAATCCAGTATCAAAAATCTCCCAATAAATAAAAGCCCTGGGCCAGATGGCTTCCCTGGGGAATGCTACCAGACATTTAAATCAGAGTTAATACCGTTCTTCTCAAGCTATTCCAAAAAATGGAAATGGAAGGAAAACTTGTGGACTCATTCTACGAAACCAGCATCACTTTGATTCCCAAGCCAGACAGAGAGCCAGCAAAAAAAGAGAACTACAGGCCAAATCCTAGATGAATACGGATGCAAAAATCCTCAACAAGATACTTGCAAATCGAATTCAACAGCATATAAGAAGAATTATCCACCGTGTTCAAGTGGGATTCATCCCTGGGTTACAGGGCTGGTTCAATATTCGTAAATCAATCAATGTAATACATCATACTAACAAATGAAAAGATAAAAATCATATCCTGTCAATAGATGCAGAAAAAGCATTTGACAAAATACAACATCCTTTCTTAATAAAGACCCTCAAGAAAGTCAGGATAGAAGGAACCTACTTAAACATCATAAAAGCCATTCATGAGAAGCCCAAGCTAACATCATCCTCAATGGGGAAAAACTGAGAACTTTCCCTCTCAGATCAGGAACATGACAGGGATGTCCACTCTCACCACTGTTGTTTAACATAGTGCTGGAAGTCCTAGCATCAGCCATCAGACAATAAAAGGAAATCAAAGGCATCAGAATTGGCAAAGAAGAAGTCAGACTTTCACTTTTTGCAGATGAAATGATACACTACACAGAAAACCCAACAGACTCCACCAGAAGCCTACTAGAACTGATCCATGAATTCAGCAAAGTAGCAGGATATAAAATCAACATACAGAAATTGGTTGCATTTTTATACACTGACAATGAAGCAACAGAAAGAGAAGTCAAGAAACTGATCCCATTCACAGTTGCACAAAAAACCATAAAATACCTAGGAATAAACCTAACCAAAGATATAGGAGATCTGTGTGATGAAAACTATAAAAAATTTATGAAAGAAAGAATTGGAAGAATAAATATTGTTAAAATGTCAATACTTCCCAAAGCAATCTACACCTTCAGTGCAATCCCAATCAAAATTGTACCAGCATTCTTCTCAAAGCTAGAACAAACTATCCTAAAATTTGTATGGAACCACAAAAGTCCCCAAATAGACAAAGTAATATTGAAGAAGAAACCAAAACAGGAGGCATCACCATCCCAGACTTTAGCCTCTACTACAAAGCTTTAGTCATCAAGACAGTATGGTATTGGACCAAAAACAGACACATAGACCAATGGAATAGAATAGAGAACCCAGAATTGGACCCACAAATGTATGGCCAGTTAATCTTTGACAAAACAGGAAAGAGTATCCAGTAGAAAAAAAGAAAGCCTCTTTAGCAGATGGTGCTGGATGAACTGGACAGCAATGTACAAAAGAATGAAACTAGACCACTTTTGTATATCATACACAAAACTAAACTCAAAATGGATGAAGGACCTGAATGTGAGACAGGAAACTATCAAAACCCTAGAGGAGAAAGCAGGAAACAACCTCCTTGACCTCAACCTCAGCAATTTCTTACTTGACACATCCCCAAAGGCAAGGGAATCAAGAGCAAAAGTTAACTATTGGGACCTCATCAAGATAAAAAGCTTCTGCACGGCAAAGGAAACAATAAAACTAATAGGCAACCAATGAAATGGGAAAAGATAGGTGCAAATGACATATCAAATAAAGGGATAGTATCCAAAATCTATAAGGAACTCACCAAACTCCACATCCGAAAAACAATCCAGTAAAGAAGTGGGCAGAAGACATGAACAGACAATTCTCGGAAGAGGACATCCAGATGGCCAACAGACACATGAAATGATGCTCAGCATCCTTCCTCATCAGGGAAATACAAATCAAAACCACACTGAGATACCACCTCACGCCAGTCAGAGTGGCTAAAATGAACAAATCAGGAGACTCTAGATGCTGACGAGGATGTGGAGACATGGGCACCCTCCTACAGTGTTGGTGGGAATGTAAACTGGTGCAGTCCCTCTGGAAAACATTATGGAGGTTTCTCAAAAAATTAACAGTAGAACTCCCCTATGACCCAGCAATAGCACTGCTGGGAATTTACCCAAGGGATACAGGAGTGCTGATGCATAGGGGCACATGTACCCCAATGTTCATAGCATCACTTTCAACAATAGCCAAATCATTTAAAGAGCCTAAATGTCCATCAACTGATGAATGGATCAAGAAGATGTGGTTTATCTATACAATAGAATAGTATGGCAATGAGAAAGAATGAAATCTGGCCGTGTGTAGCAGCTTGGATGGAACTTGAGGGTGTTATGCTGAGTGAAATAAGCCAGGCAGAGGACAGATACCTTATGTTTTCATTTATAAGTGGATCAGGAGAAACTTAACAGTGGAAATGGGGGAGGAGAAGGGGAAAAGTTAGTTGGGGAGAGGGAGGGAGGTAAACCATGAGAGATTCTTGAATACTAAGAACAAACTGAGGGCTAATGGGTGTGGGGGAGAGGGGGGAAAGGGGTGATGGGCATGGAGGAGGGCACTTGTTGGGATGAGCACTGGGTGTTATATGGAAACCAACCTGACCATAAACTATAAAAAATACATAAATAAAATAACATAGACTTCCTGTAGGGGCGCCTGGGTGGCTCAGCCCTTACATGTCAGACTTTGGCTCAGGTCATGATCTCACAGTTCATGAGTTTGAGCCCCACATGGGGCTTTCTGCTTTCAGTGCACAGCCTGCTTCAGATCCTGTCTCCCTCTCTCTGCCCCTCTGCTCCCCTTCTTGAAAATAACAACAAAAATAGATCTTCTATGTTCTCCCAAGTAGCTCATCCTACAGTTGTTCCTATCTCAGGTAACAGCAATTGCTCTTTTTTTTACCTGGTGTCAACCTGACTCCTTTCTCTCCCATCTGCTTCCAGTGTGTCAGCAGATCTACTTCAGATAGATCTAGGATTTCACCATCTCTCCCCAGCACCACTGCTACTGTTCTGGTTTAAGCCACCAGCATGTCTTACAGTTACAGTGACTTCCTGATGCCTCTTTATTTCCACCTCGCACCTACAGTCAGATTTCAGTGCAGCAGTAGAGTCATTCCCATAAATATGTAATCAGACCATTTCACTGCTCCACCCAAGCCCTCCAGGGATATCTGGTTAATAAACACCTACAAAGCATTATTCCACCTGTCTATCCATTACTTCTCGGGCCTCATCTTACCACTATCCCCTTTGGTGTCTCCCTTCCTGCCACATTGGCCTTCTTGCTGTTTTCTCCCAACTGGCCTGGGCTTCTCCCAGTGTTGCCTTGCTCTATGGAAATTCGTTCCCTTCAAAGAGCCACACTTTCCTTTCAGTGTTTGCTCACAAATCCCTTCTGGAGGCCTTCCTGGCCCATCCACATTCGTGTATGGTATGTTTTACTTCATATTCTTGTTTTGTGTTCATCTATCCCTTATTTTTGTCTTTGTATGCATGGAGTATGTGAGTCCCATGAAGGAAGGGATTTTTTTTGTTTGTTTGTTTCCTTTGTTCATTAATAGAAGAACATCCAGTACCTAGAGTATGTTTTAATGGCCAGTAAACATTTTTTCATGTATTCATTGATCATTTTCATTTCTGCCTTTATGAATTACCTACTCCTTATCCTTTATGTCTTTTTTCTAATTAATGTATAAGAACTCTATACTAAGGGTATTTATCTTTTGTCCATAATTTGCTATTCTCTATTACATTTTGTTTGCCTCTTAAATTTTTTGATGGGGGAATGAAGTTCGGGGAGGTACATTACACATATGTATGTATACATACATGTTTTTTTCTTTTATGGCTTCTGTTACATCTGTCACATTTCTGCATATCTTACAAGTAAAAAGAACTGACTGCTTGTGATCCAGACTATCTTTTCAAGGATGTTTGTCTAATGAACATCCTTGGAGATAGCAGTGTTTCCTTGCCGAAGGGCAGACATGCTTACTGCCTACTATGAGAGACGTGGGTTCCCTAAACTCGGGATTGCTCCTCTGTAGTGCCTCCCCCTGCATGTATGGGTGTCATCTGGCCCTCACCGTGTTGCTCTGTGGAAACTGGGGCTTAGGAAGCTACCACAGGTCTGGCATCTGGCTACTTCTATTGCTGTAATAAAGCTCTGTGTCTCTGACCCAGGAAGCTCACATCCTTTGCTAGCATCCATGAAACTGTTCCAGGCTAACTTGTAAACTTGGGAGGTAAAATCCGAAACCCTTACAATGCTTGATATCTTTTTTTATTCTAAGCTTAGTAGGGGTTTTGCTATCCTGTTTTCAAAATTTTAGCTCTATCTTTGTGAAAAATTTTAAAGCTTTATTTTAAATAAGTAAATATATAAATATATTTGGTAAAAACAAATACAAAAAATAATGTTGGGTGGAGGCAAATAGTTAATCTATTTTCTTTCTAATAATTAAACAGTTGTCTTATTACCATTATTTAGTGATCCATATACTTCTCATTGATTTAAAAATTCAATCTTTATCATATACTAAATATAATTTTGGTGTATTTTTCTTTTTCTTTTCCATTCATCTTTATATTCTAAACTTAAATATATATGTATATATACATAAACTTAAAATTTTAGTTCTTTATACATCTTAATATCTAGTAAGTACTGAGATTCTCTACCTTAGTATTCCTTTAAAAATTGTATTAGTCTTTCCCATTTATTTTTCGATATGAATTTTAAAATTAATTTCTTCATATCGTCCCTCCTCCCAACTATTATATTTGTGGTTGAAATTGCATTTAATGTGTTACTGTTTTGGAAAAAACTGGTATGTCAATAGGATTGAGTCTTCCCATCTAAGAACATGGTCTTTCTATTTTCCGAGTCTTGTTGGAAATTTTAAGTTTTAAAAATATATATTTTACATAAGTCTTATTATAGTTATTCATTATTACTAACTTTTTAAAATTCTTAAATGGTAATTGTATGCATTAAAGATAATTATTGTATTAAGTCTGTTTATAAATGAGTTATGTTTTTATAATCCTGTAGCACCAGAGTGTAAGTGAATTCTAATGATTTATAAAATCTCTTTATATATTTCTTGCTAGACTACACTTGCTGCTTTGAAGGACAAAGTTGTTTCTGTTGAAAATGAACTCTTAGAATTGCAAGAAGTAGAAAAACAACAGAAAGCCCTTATTGAAGTATATAAAACTCAGGTGACTATTGCATTGATTTTAATGTTATGTTTTGTAGACAATTTAAAACACTGCATTTTTTAATCTAAATAAGCAGAACTGAAGAAAGGTGGGGCTATTATTTTGTGATAGAATATATGTCCCATCTATTTCTTAAGGTCCAATGTATTTTTATAAGTAGATGATTCTACTGATTCCTGATTTGTACATTGACCATGTGTATACTGGGTATTCCTAAGGTAGATCTAAAATTAATTATGTAAGTGTAATGTAAACTTTATGTGTAATCTTGTTAAACTGAGTTATACTTATTTGTCATCTTATATATTTAATGGTATTGGTTTAGATTAATGACTCCCTTCTAGGATCATTAAAGCTCAACAGTTCCTCTTTCTCAGTAAATAAAGTAAAATTCTGAATTTACCCACATGAAAGACCTAGAAAAGAGCATATGAAAATATATGTGGAATAGAACATGTGTTCAGTGGCAATTTTTAGAAAACCTTATGTTTTGGAAATGTAGTATTCAAGAAAATATGTATGAGAAAGATGGGACTTATGCAGGTCCTTGCACAGTGGTAACAGACTAGTCAATAAAGAGCTTGATTTTACTGAATGAGAGAGCATTTGAATTAAAGAATAATGAACTAAAGGTAAAAGCTTAAGGAGGGCATCCTGTGGATAGGAAGGAAGTACATCTGGATGGTTTATGGGGAAATGAAGTTGAGACATCCAGTTAGAATATTGCAGTCATGGGGCTCCTGTGTGGCTCAGTTGGTTGAGTGTCTGACTCTTGGTTTCAGCTCACATCATGATCTCTGCGGTTCGTGAGTTCGAGCCCCATGTTGAGCTGCACATTGACAGCATGGAGCCTGTTGAGGACTCTCTCCCTCCTCCTCCCCCCACACTCACTCAGTCTCTCTCTTTCAAAATAAAAATAAATTTAAAAAATATATATTGCAGTCATACAGAGCCTACCAGACCAGAGGTCAGATGGAGGCCATAGTGAACTGTGGGACATGTTGTAGAGAACGCCATCTGGATCCTCCAGCCGCTTGTTTGGCTTTAATCCCTCACCAAAATAATGTGCATGTTCTAGGCTCTGGGCTTTGTATACAGTGCTTAGATTTTCTTTCTTTCTTTCTTTTTGAGTATTTTAAAATTTTGGACTGTAAAATAATTGGTAGGGAATTGGTAAAATAATTGCTATAGTTTGGACCAAAGGTTGATTCCTTTTTTTTTTTTAAACAAAGATGTATTTTACTTTGTTGTAATAAATCTCTCTCCAAATAAATATGCATGTGGACATACATGTCAGCATATTTCAATTACTTCTTAGTCTTCAGATTTTTTTTTTATAATTCTTTTTAGTTCTCTTTAAAGTTCACTGACCTGAAAATAAAGATCTCTCTAATATTTAGTCTCAAGGGGAGAGTCTAGAAGTATTGATGGGAGAAGACAGATAAGTCATAAAAGGATTGTGGTTTGGAGTCCAGCACTGAGCGATTCTTAGGTTAAAGCAGGAATAACATTAGATAAAGATACTGAGGGTATTGATAGGGAAATAGTGACTTGTGTAAAAGTAAAAATTCAGATGTTTCGCTTTTTATTTTACATACATTTCTTTATTTTTGAGAAACAGAGCATGAGCAGGGGAGGGCCAGAAAGAGGGAGATAGAAGATCCAAAACAGGCTTCACACAGTGAGCGCTGGGCTTGAACTCAGGAACCTTGAGATCATGACCTGATCTGAAAATAAAAGAGTCAGAGTCACTCAGGTGCCCCTGCATTATGGTCTTAATAGAAAATATGTTACTCTATTTTCAGATACAAAAGTTGCAAGAAGCAGCGGAAATGGTGAAAAGCAGATGTGAAAATTTGCTACATGAAAATAACCAAATAACAAAAGACAAAAATAAAAAGTTAGAGAAGGTGAGTTTGATGTTTTAAGCAATAAAATAATATTTTATTCATATGTTTCATACTTTATGAATATTATACCTATTTCATTGTGATTGTTTTTTCTAGTTTAGACCTACTAATTATATGTCTTAAATCTCTGTAGGAGTTTGTTTTCTAAAGAGATAATGTTTCTTCCAGGCTTGAAATGTTTGTTTGTATGAATGTTTTTTTACTTTTTCCTTAATATTTGGAAAACAGCATAAATATTTAATTTTTCTGATATAAGAGCAGACTTACATAACTCAAAAAAATTGGTTATCACTTAATCCTTGAGCTTCCTCAGCCGTAAGTATGCAAACTTGAATATCTCTCATTTTTAATCCCATCTTTTTGTTTCTGTTGTGTACTAAATCTGTTGTGTCTAAAAAGCAAAGTAAATATTCTCTGCTAAATGCTTCTTTGGAGGAAAAATAATATTTTAAAAAACCCAGCATCATTTCCCTTTGTCACTCCATTGCAACAGAATGAGGGGAAGGCCAGCGTTGGCAAATTATGATGTTTTTGTGAATATTTTTAACTTTTTAAATGAAACCTCATCCCTCTTTGGGTCCTGTCATGTTGTTTTGGTAAGGAAGCAGTGAAAGTCCTAGGACACTCCTTGTTGGAAAGGTCATGGGATGTTACCATTCACTTCCAGCTGAGTGTAATCAGGGGACTGTCTGTGGGTTGCCCCCACAGCTTGGGATTGAGAAGTCCGAGTGAGGCACCAATGTGAAGGAGAGGTCAGCCAGAGCAGCCGTTCTGCTGGGTAAACAGAGATCCAGAGAGCCCACCTAACATGCCACTGACTACTTTCTTAGAATCACTTTTCACCTATTTTTAGCAGCATGTCTAGCATTTCATGTGTTCTGGTCTCTTTTCTCATGAGACATACCACTGCAAAGGTCTCCTCTTTTGCTAGGCAGCACTGTAAATAAAAAGCCTATTAAAAAACCTGTTCAAGAAGCTGATGGGGTTGAAGCCTGTAATTATCAGATCCCACGAGGTCACAATGTCTTTTACTGGTATTAAACCAGAAGTCTTTTTGTTTTTTAAAGAAATTTCCATTCATTTTTTTAAAGCTTATTTACTTTTGAGAGAGAGAGCGAGCACACAAGGAGGGGAGGGGCAGAGAGAGAATCCCAAGCAGGCTGTGCACTGTCAGCACAGAGCCAGAAGTGGGGCTTAAACCCATGAACTGTGAGATCATGACCTGAGCCGAAATCAAGAGTCAGACACTAACTGAATGAGCCACCCAGGTGTCCCTAGAAAAGTCATTTTTAAAGAGATTTTCCCTTTTCTTTTTCCACTGTTAAGTCTCCTGCTTTTCTCATGGGCTTTTAGATGTTTGGGGACCCAGAGGCAGGTTTTGTTCTTGCTTGACCTTTTATGATCAAGAGTGTCAGGTGATGCCCGGTAGCTCTAGGTGTTCTCTGACTCAGGGACAGAGTCTGGCTCTTGTTTTTTCCTTCCCATAAACATCCTAAATGCCATATGTGTGGTTATTTTTTTCTGTGTAAACATTTCTTAGGGTTGCTTCTTGTCACATTTCCACGAAAGTACCATCGTGAGGCATTGTACTAGCCAAAGGGATGAATGTAGATAAAATCAGAGAGACTTGCTCATAGTAACCTTAAGGATGAAGTTACAATCTACTGAGTACTAATGATACTAGCTATCTTGAAATAACGTATAGTAAACCGCAGCAACCTGAATGAAGATGAGTGCAGCAAGGCTATTCTGACTGAGATATCTGAGTTGCAAGACTGAATGACAGAAAGTGACAGGTACTTTAGACTGATGGCCTCATAGTAGTAAATTACCAAACCAGCTTTACTAGTAATAACTATGCTTGAGTATAAATTACAGGATTCAGGAAGTTTGCTTTCCTCAGTAGGTTAAACATTCTCCCTGCAGCCTAATATTATTATATGCATTTACTCAACACACTTACTTTAACTACTTTTTAATTTTAATCCCAGTAATTAACATACAGTGTTATATTAGTTACTCAACAAACTAGTTAAAAACTAAATTGCAGCCCGCTTGTGAGTTATATGCTCTTAGTTGGCAGAGTCTAAGTTCATGTTTATTCGTATTTATTTGGTTGAATCTTTTTGTTTAAAATCATTATACCTAAAATACTCAATATATTACGAGCATATGTAGTGTGTAAGATAGTGAAGACGTTAATGCTGAATGTGTGACCTTGCACTTATTTCCTTAATGCTCCAACACAGGTGAGAGGCCAGATGGAGTCTCATCTGAAGGAGTTAGAGTGCGTCCGCGCTTTGGTGTCGGTGGAACGGAGGCTTCAGGAGCGTCAGGAGAGCCTGCAGCACCTCATGGGGAGGCGTGTCGACCCGGCTCACGCAGCTATGGAGCTTCAGGGCCAGGTGTCCGGCCTTCATTCTGCTGTCTTCTAGATACGTGAAAGGAATACTCTGCGGTGATTTCACCAGTTGAGGGCACTCATGTCAGGGGTTGATTTGTTTTGTTGTTCTGTTTCTTAACTACCATGTAAGCCAGTTTATCGGTTTATTGCAGATACTATAATGTTTTGCAACCTATTCTTATAGTATTTTATCGTGAAAAATTGGTAACTAAGATTGCTCAATTTATATTATTTGTATGAATCTGTATTTAGACATTTGAGAACAGTAATAGCATGAGAGAAGGAGCAATGCTATGTTTACACATCTTTTTGATATCACGATAAGCTAAATTACCGTAATTTACCCTACAAAAATTAGAATTTATTTTAATTAGAATTGTGCATCAAATTGAGTTGGATTATTCCCAGTTATTTTTTTTTCACTCCATCAGAACAGGGATCCTGGATGTCCTATTAGTCACCACATAGCCATCTCCTTTTTTTTTTTTTTTTTTTTTTAAGTTTGTTTATTGTGAGACACAGCCCCATGTCTCTCTGCAGGGGCAGAGAGAGAGGGAGAGAGAGAATCCACATACCATCTCCTAATTCAATACCTAGCACAGAGTAAGCTCTTAATAAATATATTTTTTAAATTAATTACTTTTTTTCAAAGAAGCATACACAAGGAGGTAGCAAGTCTTTTTGTTTATTTGCAAAAGAATTTTAGGAGCAACTCCCCATCTATCTTCCAAATGTAACCTGGATTTTAATTTTGAAATGCATCCTGTTTTTAAAAAACATGCAAATAAAACTTTGCTCAATTTAAATTCCAGAGAAGAGATTTTCGTAAGAGAATGCCATATCGACATAGATAACCCAAATTATTAATTATAAGAAAAAATTTATTTTTAGGGCTTTTTAAAATAAGTATAGCTTTTGAAGCAATGGTAAGAATATTTGGTCTTGACCTGGACAAGTTGTCTTCGGTTGGTTTGTTTATTTATTTTATTTTGCTTCTCACAAATATGGTTTTTATTCATAGTTACAACTTCATTGATATTCAGTTATCAATCACTATGTTGAGGTGAACTAGGAAAACTGGAAGACTAACTTTAAGTATCCAACAATAGGAGATTAATACTGTTTAGTCTTCAAATTTACTTAATAAAATAAACATCCTTTTTCGATAAAGCATTGTTCAGAATGTTTTAATTGCCATCTTTCAGAAAAAACTTCTAGTAGATGATTTCCTATGAGACAGCATAGTTTTTAAGTTAACCAGAAATTTAAGAATGTGTGTTTTAAAAATGTATTTCTTTGAGTTTCTCTGTGTAGGAGTAATAATAATATTTAGGCCTTTTTGCTTCTTTAATGATTATTCTAGCACTAAAGTACATAGATTTCTTTGGAAGTTGGTTATAAAGAAAATAACCAAGAAAACTTACTCCCCCCCTTTTAGGTTGATGGAAATCATAATCTTCTGAAAAAGCTTTCTTTGGAAGAGGAAAATTATCTTATTCAGTTGAAGTGTGAAAACCTTAAACAGTAAGTATTAAATTGACTTAAAATTGGTGTTACATTTTTCTCTATATACTATAATTTTAAAATATATGTTTTCTACAAAAAGAAAATTAGAACAGATGGATGCAGAAAATAAAGAGCTTCAAAAGAAACTGGCAAACCAAGAAGAACGTCTCCAGCACAGCAATCTTAAGTTTAAAGAGAAATCTGAAGAATATACAGCATTGGCCAGACAGCTGGAAGCTGCTTTAGAAGAAGGAAGACAAAAGGTACAGATGGCCTTTATTTAGAAACTTTTTAATTAGTTTACCAAAGGGTCGTCTTTTTAAACAGACAATAGCTCATCTTACCAAACCTACAGTTATTGTTTTTAGCCTGATGACAGGGTGAAGAGAGCAATTACATTTTTGTTTTTTACCTACTTTGCCCTTTTGGAGCTAAACAGCTATATTACTGGTACAGAGTTACTTCCCTAGGTGAATGACAATGTGGAGGGGTAGAGGGCAGAGATGGAAACCATGGAAAGACTTCCCCCCTCCTTTTTTTTTGAATAAAATCGAAAAAATTTCACATTATTGAACATTTTGGTTAGGATCTGGTGGGGCATAAAGATCTACTCCCTTTTCTTTTTGCCTCATATTATTGCATAAGTAGATATAAGAATTACATAGAAAAATTGAATTCCAGTTGAATCCATTGGGTTAGCATTTAATAAATATCTTACTGTGTGTTGGGCACTCTACTAGTATTCCAGATGCAAAGATGAGTAAGATCTTGTTAGTTCACACGCTCCTTGGCAGTGTCCTGGGTGTAATCAGAAACCCATATGTGGAGGGCAGAGAGAGACTGTAGAAAGGGACCACTCCTGGTTGGAAAATGGCAGGTTTAATAAGCAAGGGAACATGAGAGTTGTCTTGGATGGCCACAAGATGAGTAGATTTCCACAGCCACCTGACAGACTCTTAAGTTTATATAGAAGCCTTTTAACTAGCTTCAGTCATGTACCCAGACCAGAAGGTCTCAACACCACATTTCTTTCTCAAGGCTGTTTACTTGGAGCAGCTTCTGGGAGCGGGGAAGGAAAGCAAAACACATACCTCAAGGACAAGGGAGGTGGGGAGCCTCCAGTTGCCCAGGTCCAGCTCATGGATTATCTGTAGGTCATGTCTTTTTTACCTCATCCAACAGAACTAGCCCCAGCTCTCAGAACACTCATAGTCCAATAGGGAGATAATAGGTGAACAGACAAATGTCATCCATCATGCAGAGGGAGGGTACAAGGTACACCAGAGGATGTGGTTAGTTTAACCTAGGGTGATGGGAAATGATTCAAGAGGGTCTTAAGAAAGAGGTAAATTTATTAAATGATTTGAAAATGTAATCTTGAAAGGGCATAAAATGAGCTTTGGATTCTAATAGGCCACTGGGTTTAAATTCGGGCTCTGACACATTACACCCTGAACCATAGTGAGTCACTTCTATAAACTTTAGTTTCCCAATTAGTAAAATGGAGATGATGTGTTTCCTCATTAGATTAAATGGTGCTACAAAGAGATCCTCTATGCCATGATGATTCTCAAATGCATGTCTCTACCCCAGATTTCTCTCTCCCCTGAAATCTCGGCTCAGATTTTCTGCTACTTACTTGACATCTCCACTTAACATGAGAATCTCAAACTTAACATGTTTAATACCAAATTCTGAATCTTTCCCTCTAAACTCTCTTCCAGTCATGTCTTTCACAAGGTTGTTAATGGCAATTCTGCATAAGTTAGATAAAATTTGATGTCCTTGAAGTGTGGCTGATATAGCACAAGTGTCATATATATGTGTGAAAACAGTTTACTCGGGGAAACCAATTTAAATTGACTTTGAAAGGCACATCATTGAATAAAAGCTAAGTAGTAAAATGTATTGTCAATGGTAGGGATGTAATCCAGATTTCTCAGCCCTGTCAACCTTTGAGAGGAAAATAAATGACTTTATCCTGGGTTCAGTCCAAGTAGACTTCAAAAATGGTAGATGTTCTCAGATTCCTTCTCAGAAGTGTTGAGAGTCCCCAGAGATGTGTCTGCCTTCTCCTTTGTCTCCTGCTGCACTGGAACATGGGGCTGTCTCTAATTCCTGCCGGGTGAGGAGTGCCATCACTGCCCTGTTACCGTTGTCCACACTGAGGACATTGTCAAGGGCTCTTTCTCCACAGCTTTACATCCTGTGAGCATCCCTCACTCACAATCACCCTTGAAATTTGTACAAAAGAAATTTTTGTAAACCACTTTATAATAACCTAGAGCTGAATTTATGGTAGGAATGTGGTTAGAGGAGAATCCTTCCCACCAGTTCCTCGCTCCTGAACTAGTCCTTACCTCCACTCTTACTCTTGTGGCTCCAACCCAGCATTCTTGCAGAAAGGCTCCCACATATCTCTGAATTGTTGGATGAACATAGTTCAGCTAGACTTTCTGCTAAAATTAACCATCATAGAAATAAGAAAACTCTAATTCAGACCACTTTGGAAGTGAATCAATGAAAAACCAATCTTGTGTGTGTGTGTGTGTGTGTGTGTGTGTGTGTGTGTGAGTGATATGTATATATCTCCTGCTCTGTCCCAATCTCATCCATCCAGTCTATGATTAGCACTGAATGAGAACTTTCTATGCTCTGCCACCACTCTAGATCCCATGGTGAACATCCATACAGTAGGACATGCCACTTGGTCTCAATAGGTTAAAAAATATAGTATTGTGAAAAACACCTACCCAAGTCATAGAGCAGTACAAATATGTATACTTCTTCCATCTCAAGCTAATTTTGCAGGTACTTTAGCTGCAAAGAGAAGTGAGCATACTTATGCTATACATATTTCCTCAAGATAGAACATCTTTAAACATTTTTTAATTAAGCTGTCTAATATACAGTTAATATCTGTTCAGAAAAAAGAGGTATACTATATGTCAAATCTTTAAGACATCCTTGAAAGAAAGCATATTTAGTTATTTTACTCTCTTAATGAAAATTACAGGTTTCTGAAGAAATAGAGAAAATGTCATCTAGAGAGAGGGCTTTACAGATTAAAATATTAGATCTGGAAACTGAGCTTAGAAAGAAAAATGAAGAACAGAATCAACTTGTTTGCAAAATGAACAGTGTAAGTATTAGTATGGCTTAATATATTTTCATAAAAAGTTAAATTAGCATTTAACATTCTTACTGTATAGTTTAGTTAAAGTATGAAGTGAAGGGATTGCTTTACTGGTAATATTAAAAATAACAAATAATATAAATCATAAAAATTTAAAATGTCATGATTATGCCAAAGAATTATTATACTGCATCCTCGGTAGTGTCTATTACATTTCCCCAAGTCTCATCAGGCCCTTTCCTGCATATTTCTTTTGCATGACAGCTGCTTAATGCAAGTTACAGATATAATCTACTTAGGAATTTCTGGAATGAATTTTTCAGTTTTTTAAGATACACATTTAAACTCTTATGAGTTAGATTTTGATATCTGTCTTGAGTAATGAATATTATAAGAAGGTGATGAGTTTGTGTTAAGTAAATATTCAGTATTGTTATATCTGCATATGAGATGGGTGCTTTGAGCCACTCAGCCATGAAATGAGAATACCAAATTGGTTGTGTTTAATTAATCTTCTAACGTCTTCCTAAATATTCATGAAAACAGTCAATTAGCATAAGGTACTATGAGAGCTAGCACTAGTCGTGACTAAATTACTTGAAAACTATCTACTTGATGACATAGAAAATGACGATACTTTATCTCTTCCGGGAGCCGGAGACACAAAAACTATTTTTGCATTCCCAAGGGTCTAAAAGTTGAAAATGTGAAAGGTTCAAAAGTAAATGATTTTTGGCATGGAATTTTAGTTTCATTTTATCACCATCAAAATTGCCATGGGAATTTAATCAGAACAAACATTTCTCACTTTTAATGTAGCACGGGCCTTCCCTTTATTCTAAATCTCTTTTACTTATGGATTTATTTTTTAATATTTTCCCCACCATCAGAATTTTTGATACTATAAAATATGTGTAATTAAAGTTCTGAAAAAAAAACAAACAGTAAGATAAATTGGGTTTCTCTACAGTTTCCCAGTACTTGGTTAAAGCTGCCAAAAGAAAGAAGGTTAAGACCCGAGGTTCTGTTAAACCTGATAATTTTTACAGGAATAAAAATCTAGAATCCTAAGCATAGATTTGGACATTACTGAAAAATGAGTCCATGTGTTCTGTCCTTTCCAGGAGACAGTTCCGTGGGCAGGTCAGTATTTATTTTGTATACGTGTCTCAGCCCCAGTTGAACTGGAAGCACCCTGACAGCTTGCCCCATTGTTGATTGTATCCTGGTGTCTCCCCAACACCCCGCTCAGGGCAGAAGGCTTCTTCAGATTTCCTGCCCCAGTGCTTCAGCTGGGGCAGATGGGTGCCCCGGAGCCAGGCATGGCCCCACCCCCTTAATCCAGGCCATTCTTCCTGAAGCCTGAAATGTCTTTGGAGTCTAATGTACTGCCCACGAACATTTTATATTCTACCCTACAATATAAGTGTGTTCATATTCACATTTTCCCCTCCAAACTGTTGAGTAAAACTGATGTTCCGCAAAGATTCACTATATTCATTCTATGACTTCGTGTAGCCCAGCCTCACACACTGCTTCATCCTGTGTAACTTCACTCTCCCAAGGGGCATCACTCAGTTTCAGAAGGTATCAGGTATCATTGAATACCTGATAGGAAGGAATCAAAAGATTTCCCTCCTGAAGGTGTCTACATTTTAGCTGGAAGCTAGATGGTATCTGTAACTTGTCTGTCTGAAGTATTTTCAGTGAACAGATCTACTTGGGAATTTATGTGATTTGAAGATTTTTAAAAATATATCAGACTTTTAATGTTTTCCTCGAATAATGAACACCTAAAATCTTTAGAGTTCTTTTTATTTGTAAAGATTTCTAAACATTTTCATATTCTAAAAACTAGAATTCTGTCACTATTGAAGGCAGTAAAAGTCTTATGGTATAAAATAGAAATTTTTAGGCAGAGAAAAATGGCAAAAACTAGTATTAAAATAGGTCATGTAAAGGGAATGAAAATTAATTATGATAGTTTCAATAAAATACACTAATTATGTTAATCATGTTAGATAGGTAATCATGTGGGGTTGACTGTGTATTGTAACAAACTGTATCAAAATAGAGATTAACCATTTATGTAATTTAGTCACGCTGAATTTTAAAGAAAAGTGAGCTCTAGGATCAGTAAATAATGAACATATCAGAAGTTAGAATTCTCTCTTAAAAAATTAAAGAAGTGTATTTAATCACTGTATATATAAATTTTACATTATGACTATCCTTTGATATGAATGTCATTGTTATTGATCCTTTGATCTGAGTGCCATTATTGATTATCTTTGTTTCTTCTTTTATTTAGAAAGCACAACACCAGGAAGTATGTTTGAAAGAAATACAACATAGTCTTGAAAAATCGGAGAGTCAAAATGAGACTATTAAGAATTATTTACAGTTTCTTAAAACTTCGTATGTAACAATGTTTGGATAAATTGTTGGATTTATTTTCTATAAGCAATAGGATTTTACTCTAAGTCTAAAGCATGATTAGGTAATGAATAAAAACACAAGCAAACTTTAATTTATGGGTGGTAGTAGAGTTTTTTGTAGATTTTTAAAATACAATTTATTATCCAATTGCAACTTTAAAATGAGATATAGATGTCAGTATTCCTTTTTGCTAGATAATTTTCACTTAGCTCTGGTTTAATACCTATTTAAATTATATTGGGTTTTAGAATGTTTTTCGCATACACAGAAGAAACCAGAATCTTGTCTATAGTCACCATTTAAGTGAATTTGGAATAAAGCGAGGCTGATTATGAGCCAAATACATGATTTTGAATAACACATAATTGTTTTACATTATTATATATATATACACACACACATATATATAAAATCGAGGAAAATATTCTGGATATTAATTTCTAATAATGGTATAAATAAATACTTTTTGAAGATACCAGATGTCTCAATGTACTTAATACTCTTTCAGATATGATGCCATTCTAATTTCTGTGAGGCTTTTAATATAGAATTTTAAATTATAGCTATTAAATGCCAACTGATGGTGACAGATGAAAACATGTTGTCCTCCATTGCTTCTTTATAAAGAATGGGGATTTAGGCTCTCTGAATTTACTCTCTTTTGTATTTAGTTTTTTGCTAGTGATTGTCTGGAATTATCAGCGTAAACATTCTAAAGCCCCCTGAGTTTACTACAAGATTAAAGGGGAACGACTTGTCCCACCCCTTCCCATAGACAGCTCTCCTGGGGATGATCAAAATAAGCACTTTTAATGCCAGGAAGCTTTGGGATAAGGTCTTTATTATTGTGATGACATAGAAGAGATACCAAGAACTTATTCCCCCTTTAATCTCCTACTCTATATGCCAAGGCAGGACACTCTAAAAGGGGACAGATGTAGTCAACAAGGAATCATGTAATAGTAGCTCCTCTCAGACAATGGCTTGAGAGCTGTTCATTCGAAGGACACATATGTCTCAAAAGATCATTCAGAGAGGTAAACTACGTACTACATGGTCCAGCCTCTGGATACAGGACTCTCCCCAAGATGTATCCTCTCCTCTGATCAGAAATGCGGTTCTGCTCTTCTCTGGTCTCCCTCACTCCAAAGACTGCCATATGAACTACAGGTGTCACTTGCCACTGACCCTACTGCTTGATAGTATTTTTCTTAAAATACCCCAATACAGTAATTTCAGCAACTGGCCACGGTTTTTGCCCAACAATTGCTAACAATATTAATGTTACTTTTTTTTTTTTTTTTTTTAAGTCCTAGTACTTTTACTAAAACACATACTTGACCCTTGTGGTCCTTTCTTCACCTCCTAAGGCAAAGGGACATCTAAGAAACGGTCACATGAAAAGAAACTAAGGTTCTTGAGTTTGCTTACCAGACCGAGAGCTCTTGTATCTTACTCAGATTTCTATTCCAGCCACTACACAATAGCTGGTATAGAGTAGATGCTCCGGTGATGTTTGTGGATAAAGACAAAGGTATTCATATTCCTGTTTTACATTTGAACAAAATGTAAGCTTAGAAGGATTAACTACCGTGGCTGTGGTATAAAACTCTTACCTTTTAAAGTTGGCAATTGAGCTCAACTCTTCTAATTCTGAAATTAAAGCTCTACGTCCAGTGCTGTTTTCCCATTGCAAGCAGCAGTGGCGGCAGCACGGCTCTTGTTGCCTGAGTGTTTGCTGTGTGCCAGACGATGCTCCCAGTGCCGGGCATGTACTATCTCATTGAATCTTTACACTTAACGCGTATGTGCTGTTGACTCCATTTATTTCTCAGGAAACCAAAACACAGAAAGGTTTCTTGCCCAAGGTCACAGAGCATCCAGAATCTGTGGATGACCACATTACCTTCGTACACATTTCATAAATAAAAGTAAAGGTTTCTTTTAACAGTTATGTGTTTACATCATCTGTGAATATTTTCTTTTTATTATACTTCTAATTTTTACCAAAGTAGTTTGGACATACGGCATTTAAAAATTAGTGCCCGCAGGGGCGCCTGGATGGCTCAGTCAGTTAAGCGTCCAACTCTTGATTTCAGCTCAGGTCATGATATCATGGTTTGTGAGTTCGAGCCCCACCTCGGGCTCTATGATGACAATGCAGAGGCTGCTTGGGATTCTCTCTCTCCCCCTCTCTCTGCCCCTCCCTGCTCATGCTCTCACACTCGCTCTCTTTCTCTCTCTCTCTCTCAAAAATACACAAAAACATTAAATTAGTGCTTGCAATGTTTCAGACAGACCGTGGAAGGAAATGACTACTGTGGAGTCCCTGAGGCTGGTACTCAGATGCTAGTGACAAAAGGCACAGGAAGTTTTCGGGACCCTGGAAGAATGTTAGCAGTCTTTGTGCTTAATGTGCTCCATGTGAAGCATTAAGTATAGATGTTGGGCTCTACTGGTGTGTGAACCAAACTCAGCATTAGGGAGGCCCAGAGTCAGTGCCCTGGCATCCCTAAGCAGCATCTCCACTTCCAGCTTTCCACCATCCCAGAAGGTCCTTGTCCCGTGGTGCTGACAGCTTGGCAGGGTTTCCTCTTTATCCTCGATATTCAGGGACTCAAGACTTTCTTGAATCCTGAAAGTTGTTTTCCATTATTTACGTGATTATTACCTCTCCACATGTTCCCCTCCTCCCTGTTTTGTCTCCTGGATCTGATCTCCACAGAACTTGCCTTTTCCCTCGGGGTCTGTCACAGGGTTTCTTGTGAGGTATTTCCACCTGACTTTTCTGACAATAATGTGGTTCTCAAGGGCAGTCATTCTCTTTCTTTTGGATATTGAATTTCTAATTAAGAAATCATGTTTTTTAGTTCCTGAAAGTGTTGGGTTTTGGTATTTTGTTTTTTGTGCTGTGATTCCATTATATTTTCATTAAAATTCTCATCTGTTTCTTCCATTGGTTCTACTACAGAAGGAATCTCAAGTTTCTGTTGGCCATCTTTCCTTTCCAAGCCCCGTAAGTGAGTTTTAATTTTCCTTTCCTACTTATGGTTGTGGTTCCCTCAGTACCGGCCAGCAGCCCACCAAGAAATGGTGATACATTTCTTGGGCAGTAGCAAACCAGGTGGTGAAAGGTGGATGGCTTCAGTTCTCATGGCCTGAGAGCTGCTACCCTCTGCTGAAGAGCTGTGAAAAAACATTCTTCTCCCAGATGTTTTCAGTCACAAGCATCAGTTCTCCTCAACTACCAAGACTGGATGCACTTTGCTCCACAGAAGAGCCCACTTCAAGGTGTTCAGGGATCAGCAAGTTGCAGCAAACAACAAGCGAAAGTTCCCTTTGGAGGGGAACCACCGGCGGTGTCTGTACCTAGAATAATGTGCAGCAACTTGAAGAATGAATTCGATCTGTATCTTTTGGCTTGAGATTTGCTCATAATTTTTATTTTTATAAAATGTTTATTTTAACCTTAAGAGTCACAGAATTATGTATTTGATATGATTACTTTTTGTAGTCAAGCATCTCTATTTGTGAATAAGCTCACATATGTTGGTATGAGCACGGAGAGAGGTGTAGAGAAGCCCACATGCCTTGGTGTAGGGATGGAGGAAATAGCAATAAGCTTTCACTGTTCCAATGAGATCTCACTACTTTCAATTTTTTGCTAATGAAACATTTTAAAGGTTGGAGGACAGGCCTGTTAGGGAGTAGAAGAGCGGGACTGGTAAGAGGTTGAAAAGTAGGACTGGTCTGAGAATGAAATATTGGAATTGGATTTTCACAGGTGAAATAGTTTGGGACAAGGCAAAAGCGAGAAGTCGGCTTGAAGTGGAGTGGAGATCCCCGGAGCACAGGTGCTGCATAGCTGTGAAGTCATAGACACTGAAGCCATCTAGAACATGGGAGGAATTGGGGGGAGCTGGAGAGCAAGCACCTGGTTAAATGTGGGCAGATGAGTAGGTCACTGTGATAAGGAGTGAACATTTTAAGACTACCAGTAGTTTTTGACTGCAGTTAGAATAAAATCTAAAGTCCTCCACATGACCCTTAAGGTCTCGCATGTTCTGACCCTCATGTCCATGGCCCCACGGCTCTACCAACTTCCTCACCCTCTCCAGCACTGTCCTCCTCACCCTCTGTGCCTGGTTGCACTCGGTTTCCCTGAAGACCAAGTTCATTCCTTTTTTATTCTTTTGAAATACTCTTTCCCCTACTTTGGCCTGGCTAGATCCTCTTCATTCTCTCATATGGCTTCCTACTCTTTTCTTTCATAATTGGCAATTTTTTATTTGTTTGGTCATTTCAAATTTGTCCCACTAGATTTTAACAGTGGGATTTACCGTTCTGTAGTCTGTATCTAACGGTGCCTGTCACATAGCAGCCACTAAGTACGTATTTGATGGATGGACAGGTAGGTGGAGGGATGGTGATACTGCCATTACTTCTGAACTTCATGGTAGGGAGAGGGGAATGGAAAGGTATGTAAATTACAGTCCAGAAGAATGAGTAGCTTTCTCTCCTGCAGTCTGCAGGGGAAGCAGTTTCCTAGGTGAGGCAGCAGGTTTCCTTTCATCACAGGCGGAGTCTGAAGACACTCAAGGTGCAGGAGACCTCGTTTATAATCACATGTGTGTCCCATAGGCTACAGTGGTGAATGGGAGGGAGTTGGGAATAAGTCAAGGAGGTGCAATAGGTTGCTTCAGGTAGTTTTAAGAGGAGTTTTTGTTTTCTTGTATAAATATTAATAAAAATCCCATATGTTGTCTTCTTTTCTCCTGATACTACTGAATTGAGAAAGTTGCTTAAGTCCTAGGTATAACTTAGTGTTTTTGATTTATTAAACATTACAGCTGTAGTAGTACTTTCCAATAACACTTCCACAAGAGAAGAAAATATTAAAAATTAGGAAAAAAGTAGTTTCCTTAAAACTTAAGATTTTCTTAAAATTGTAAAGTTAAGGCATATAAATAAGTATCTAGCTTCTTTCTTTGGTGTGGCTTGGGGAGGGGCTAGAGGGGAGAAGGACTGATATAAGTGCCCCATATTGTTTGATGATATTAGATGAAGTTAATATTGACAACACACTAAGCTTAAAACCAGAAAAATAAAACCTGTGATCAGCTGTCATACATTATTTTATTTTATTTTATTTTATTTATTTTTGTATTTTAGAGAGTGTGCGCAAGCGGGGGGGAGGGGCAGAGGGAGAGAGAGAGAGCATCTTATGCAGACTCCCAAGTTTAATGTGGGGCCTGGAGTGGAGCTCATTCCCATGACCCTGGGACATGACCTGAGCTGAAATCAAGAGCCAGACGCTCAACTGACTGAGCCACCCAGGTGCCTCTTGCTGTCATGTTATTTTAAATAAACATTTTAATTATAAACTGTGACCACT